CAAAATACGAAAATTTGCTCTAGAAAGGGAAGCTCTCAAAAATCCAACTTCCTCAAGGTCCCTCCATCATCCAAGGAATGTTCTAATGAATTCTAAGTTAATTTCAGTTCTTCAACACCTTATTAACATGGGTAAACCCTTCAAATCATTAGATATCGATTGAGACATCATTGTTGAGAAAAGAAATCCTAAAACTCGAATTCAAGAGGATTGAACGTCAAAAAGGTAATATATTCACCCTTTAATTGATTATAGAATTGCATTTATGATTATAGACTCTAAGTTCATGAGATATGAGTTGATGGGTTTGATAGAAAAAAATGAATGATTATAGGTTTGGGTTGTTGATTGTTGTTTACCTTATGGGTGATAAAGAATGATATTGATTATAACAATTCAAGATTTTAGAATTATCTAGGATCAAGAGAATGGTTTGTTGGGTGTAAAAACACCATTAATAAGGATTATGAAGCTTTATGCTCACCAAGTGTTTGATAAAATGCCCGAGTGACTAAAACATGAGCATTAGTGTTAATATTGACTCCTCTTGATATATGTTGCCATAGATTACCGTTGAAAGAGGTAACAAATATTGTGATACACTTAAAAGGGGCAAATCTAAGGTATGTAAGGCTAACTCTCTATGTTTCAGAATGTGAATGATTCTCCCTACACTATGTTTCTTCTACAACGTTACTAATTGATTCAGAAATATAATTAAGCTTAGTTCCTTAAATAATTGCCGAACTTCTATTCTCTAGCTTCGTAATTCGTTAACGACTTTCATTCCGAACGTTGTGAGATCAGTGCGGAATCACTATTGATGCACATGAGTCTTAGTCTATATTACTCAGCATGTCATAAACAGTTGAAGCTTCAGTTCTCATAATTAGTTCATGAATCCATGTCTCAGTCTAGTCCTATTCAGCATTCCAGTATCATGTAACTCTATATGATTCATCATTTCAGCATCATGTATTGCAATATGATTCTCAGTTCCCGATTTTAACGTTCTGATTGTTGAATACCTATATTTCGGCCAGAGGCCACAGTTTATGCTTTATGCATCACTGGGCAGAGGCTGCAGTTTATGCTTTATGCATTATTGGACCAGAGGCTGCAGTTTATGCTTTATGCATTATTGGGCCAGAGGCTGTAATTTATGCTTTATGCATATTTGGGCCTTAGGCCGTAATTTATGCTTTATGCATCTTTGGGGTTGAGGTCGCAGTTATGCATACATATACTTGGGCCCAAGGCCACAACTTGTGCACATATATATTGGGACTGAGACTGCAATTTATTTTATTCAGATAAACAGGTGGTTCATCATTCGAAAGAGAGAGTATTCATATCCTTACTTCCTTTATTCAGTTCAGTTATCAATTATCTGTTCAGTTACTAGCTATTAGTTATTAGTTCTCAATTATCAGTTATTAGTTTAGTTTTAGTTTCAGCATTTACAGTTTATTCTTTTAGTTGCTTTACATACCGGTACAATTCAAATTTATAGGTTGACGATTCAGAGTGCTAGGATTCTCGTACCAGCTATTTGGTGATCCCTAATTTTTTCGGGGCATTATTATTACTTTACAGTCTTTCAGTATTTACAGACAGTAAGTGTTTTCAGAACTTCATTAGAGACTTCATAAACTAGAGTAGCTGTTAGACAGAGTCGCAGTCTTTTCATGTTAAGCAATGTTGGCTACAGATATGTTTCAGACTTATATTAGTGTTTCCGCACTTGGTTTATATCATTCATACTTTCAGTATATCCACATGCGATTGTTTATCTTCCCCATTTAGTATGTTATGATATCACATGTTGAATCAGTCAGCTAGTTGGTTCGCTCGGTCACATGTAGTCAGGGACCGGGTGTCGTATTATGTCCAGGCCTAGGTTCGGGGCGTGACAGGAGTTTCATCCTTTATGTTGATACTGTTAGTTTTATATTCGAATAGTGTTGTATTTTGTATATTTCGGATATATTCGGTTAGAGCTCATGACTCTGTACTACCTAATTCTGGAAAGATATTTTGGGTATTGCCATTTTGGCATGTGCTAACTCTATTTCCGCTTTTATATTAAATTCTATCTTAGCATATAATGTTTTGTTGATTTAATGTGTTAAGTGATTGGCGTATGTAGTCTTAGAGATTAGGTGTTATCACGATCCCTATGGTGGAATTTGGGTCGTGACAAGAACACATGTTCCAGGTTTCGAGTCTTGATCTCCTGTTGTTCATCATATTGCTGGAGAAGCAAGTAGCAAATTTGGAATCCTCTTCAATCGATCTCATATTCAAAATTCAAAAATTAAGAAGTATAGTCCTTGAATGAGGTAATAAAAAATTTAAAGTGAAGCTAGATGGCCTGAAGGAGTCAATGTGGAATCTAACAGAATTAGTTGATACGTGGTGCATCCAAATCAGCCACCAAATCCATCACAATACCTATAACCTCCACCACCACCTCCTCTACCACTACATAATATGTCAGTTCTCCATTACGTTACCATTTTAATATCTACCAATTCAACTGCATAAAGCAAGATATATTGAGCATGCTGAAGAGGTTGAAGTTGACCAAGGCATTAGAATACCAAGACACTATGCCTAATATGATTAGCATTTAGATAATCAAGGGAGTAAAGAAGACAAAACTGATGAAGACCATTATTAGAGAGACAAAGAACTTGCATTGGATCCACAAGTTCAGGGTTTACCACCAAAGTTTATGGTAATCCATTCGAGTATCCAACCATGTGTGTCATTGACTTTTCGCCTTTAAGAGATGGTCAATACAATATTGACTTGATTGTTGACTCTATCATTCAAAACAAGGTAGCATATTGCATTAATTCTAAAGTCCATAAAAATATGCATGAACAAGAGAACGAATTACCTAAAAAGGAGTGGATCATGGAGAGTTTGAGATATATTAGAAAATAAGACGTCTTCATGTTATAAATATATATGGCTATCATCAGAGTGACTATCAATGTACAAGGGTTACAATTGCATTCCTAAGAAGAGCATTGAACTCCATACTTCATTCAAAGCTAGACGTGGAATTGGTTAAGTGCTATAAAGTTCTAACACCAATAACTTGATATTTTAAGTTGAAGTTTGGGAGTAAACATAGAAAGATTACACAAAGAAGGCTTGGTACAAAGTTAAAACTTAGAGAAAGTGAGATTTAGTTCAACCACATGCTAAGTTTTCTTACAACGTGAAGAAGCTCTATGATCAGCTAGCAAAATATAACTTGAAACCTGATGAGCATTGGGTCCCCATTCTTTATTATAGCAAATCTTGCGCCATTTATGTAAGCTATTAGACTCGAGGACGAGTCTTTTTCAACCAGCGGAGAATGATGCAAGATCAAGAAAGGCCAAGAATCCAAAAAAAAAAAAAAGTTCAAGAATCCATTCAAGATTAGGATTTCTTTTATTTAAAAGTTAGGATTTGTTATTTCTGGTAATTTGATTCTTGTTTTAGTAGGAATATATTTATAGTTCTAGTTAACTACGATTGTTAGTTGATATTCCTTCCCCGGATCTTGCGTGAACAGGAGATGCTTTGTGCATCGGACTATTCTTTTTTAGTTAGGATAGTTTTTTCTTAATCTTATTCTTATTGTAGTTTAATTAGGATTATTTTTTTTAACCTCATCAGTTTTACTCAGTGTAAGGTTTATTTAAATGGCAATATGCTGAAAATAACTATTGGTGAATAGTTTTTCTATGTTCTTGTTTTAAAAATGTGATTTATCTTCTATTTCGTTCTTCTTCCTTTATTCAACACTACGTGCAATCTTGCAGGATTGAGGAATGAGTGGGTAAGGTTCTTTTCATCTTACATTCTTCTCACTTTAGTTTGAAGAATGCTTTTGCTAGTTTTGTAAAAAAAATTTAGCGGGGTACTTTTGTTTTTCTCTTTTCTATTGCTTGAGTGGTGCAAAACCTTGAAAGTACGTCACTCTTCCATCTACATCACCGGATTCCACAAGCACATCGAATGATACTAAGTAAGAGTTTACTACTATTACCTGATAACGTAGCTTAGTCATAGTACGTTGGTATGTGCATACAAATATACATATTCTCACATTGTTATTCCCTTTCTATTAAGCAGCATCTCCTCCTCTAGTCCTACAGATTCTCCTGTCGCCGCATCAGTGGTAGATTCTCTTTCTCTTCCTCCCATCTCTCTCTAATATAAAATATATTGTTCCCACTATATAAGATCAATTTTATATCATGGAGAGAAATTTTGTGAAATACAACTTTATTAATTAATAATATTTGGCTTAGGTGATGCAAGTATTAGTTGAGAAGTCTAGAATTAATCTGGTGAGTTTATTCATGTACTCTGGAAGAAGAAATCTAGTGGTCTTACCAATTGAGAAATAAATGAAAATACATGTATACACTAATCTAGATACATTGTTTAGTTCATTATAAATTGTTGAAGATATAATTATGTCAATAAGAATATGCTTACTCTAATGACTTAAGTTTTAAATTAGATAATCACACATTTTAATATGGTACCGAAGCAGACAGATGTCCTAGTCGCAGTCTTACTACCACTTGTTATTAAAAAAAAATTCATATGCTTGACTCATGAAAATGAATTAGGCTCACATCATGTTACTTGCTAAAAATCGTTTTAGCATGCTCAAACTGAGCACATTATTAAAATATGAAAATGTTAGGTTTAGGAGCTAGCTTTTCAAGTTCACCATAGCCCTTGCCAAGAAAACTAGCAAATATAGCAACAAAGTCTCAGCCTTCTCTAAGGTTATTGTTTTTATGTGAGAAGCTCCGTGTTTTTGCAGATGGGGCATCACTTGAGGGGGATGATAACCAATTTAAGTGTATGTTTATAATATGTAATAGGTAGCTTAGTCAGTGTCAAGAATGTACACATTGTATATATATATATATATATATATATATATCTCATGGACTGATTTAAATACCTGCTCAAGAATCTTTTCAGCTACATGCTCAACTTGTAGTATTCTACCAACTGTTGGTACAAGACTTTGGTGCCATTTGATGTCAAGCGTTTTGTCCAACTTAATTCCATCGTCAAGAAGTAAGGCAGCAATTCTTGCAGCTTTGAAGCAAATAGCAGCACTTGACGCCAACCCAAGGCGTCCCCGAGATTCTTGAACAGAATCCAAGGATAAGCTTGAGCCATATAGTTCACAGATTTCATCCAGGCTTCTCTGGAAGAAACAGACAATACTGTCAGAAGAATCACAAAAGATAATTGTTGGTATTGGGAATGGACTCTTTATATGGTCTTGGGCAATTGAGTTAGACCCAAGAATTAATTTTTTTATCACGGTATCAGATTCAAGCCCATTCCAATTCTTTGTTTACCCAATGTTGGGCACCCACATTATGTAGTTCATGCTCTAGTTATCGGGCCTTGACGTGCGATATTAATTATATATTAACTTCTTCCGAAGACTAACAGGACTTCCTAATTGAATTATTCCTAAATTGAGTAGACATTTTAAATAATGGAGGAGTATATAAATCAAATTAATATATTAAAGTAGAGTACCTTGAAGTCGAGGGTGTGAGGTGAGTCGGACACAATGTCGCCAGAGAAGCAGCTGAGGAAAGGGACAGTGGAATCCAGCGCCACAATGTTGTGGGCATGAGCGTCCACTATTTCTACTCTCTCCACTGCTCTTTTCAGCTCTTCGAATGCGTCCATTTTCTGTCTTCACTTCCAAAATTTTGCCATATGGGATCCAGATACTATTTATATACTTGAAAAGACATTGAGGAAGTTAGCAACGAACTAGCGAAGTACCCGAATATGGTTTCGATGCTTTCCCCCTAATTATGGATCTTTGAATTTTATATTTTTGTGGTCACGACTACGTCAACTTGGGAGCTTCAACGAATTTTTGCCTATGCAATCCATATTTATTACCCTTCTTTATTCATTTTTAAAATAGTTACACAAAATAACTCCCCCAATAAATTTTGTCACACCCCTTTTTCTACCCCGCAAAAGATAATATGCGTTATGGATTTGTTGGTTAAAGAGTTTTTCCAATTAAAGTGACAAAATTTGAATAGGGCTTATTTTATTGTTCAGAGTCGCCACTTGGAATTGATTTTTTTTTTCGGTGTTCCAAGTCACCATTTATTTGGATCCCTAGTCAAAGGAAGGTTTGACTCTATTTTAATCGGTCCGTGAAAACAAAGTTCGGGTAAGGAATTCTGTTGACCGGGGAGAAGGTATGAGGTATTCCCCAAGTCCCGTGGTTCTAGCACGGTCGCTTTATTGACTTAAACTTGGCTTGAACTAATTTTGGACAAACTGTGATTTATATTATATTCATGTTTTACCTATCTGCTTTTATCTCTTGATTATTAGAGAAATTAAAGAATGTTTTTGAATAATATAAAAAAATGTCATAACCACGCTACGTAAGTGAATGCGTGATCGACGAAATTTATTATTTAATCATAACGGCGCTACGCAAGCGAATCCGAAGTCATGACAAACAATTGTTAGCAAGTTATTTACTTCTAGGAAAATTACTACATTCTAAGAATTTAATTTTTTTGAAATTTATTAAAAGGTCAATTATCGCGCTACGCAAGCGAATCCGCGAGTTTGACAAAGAGTTTATTAAACTAAAAATCAACTGAAAAACTAACGAATATTGTATGACCTTGTTGAATTAAATTATTGAATGTTGAACATCACGTTACGCAAGCGAAATCGTGGAATTAGAGCGCGCCTACTAATTGCCTAGCGTTCGATATAATTAATTGGAAGAAAATGAGTTACTTAATTGGTATAAAAAAAATCTGATTTTTTATTGCTATTTTCTAGCCTTATTGTTGGAAATATTATGCAAATAAATGTTGGACCAACTCTATCTATTTTAAAGGGATGGGCCAACTTCTTGTTAAAGGGGAAATGGGTCAGCTTATGGATTTTAAATGATGGGCCAGCTATTTATTTATTGAGAAAGTGGGCCAATTTGCTTATTTAGTTATGGCATTGGGCCAACATCAATAAAAAAAACATATTTATAGACTTCTTAAAGGCATTGGGCCTATTGGACAAAATCTGCCTTGGCCCATTATTGGGCTCCAAAAACGGGCACAAGCTGAAAGCCCAATGGATTTCAAATCTTGGTTTACTAAGACAGCCCAACTCGGCTATATTGCAAGTCTGGCCTCTTTTGTTCTAAGCCATTAACCTTTTTTTTAACTAGTAATTTCAAACATCTATTTAAGATCTAGCCACTTTTTACCAAAATAAATGTAAAATCCTAGCAGAGATGGTCACATATAAATCTGAATTTTATCACACTAAATAAAGGTTTCGAGCATAGCTCTTTTGTTATTTTTCTTTAAAGAATTGCCTATCACAACTTGGCCAAAATTGCAAAGGTGCAAAATGAGTCTTTAAGCACATTGCAACCTACTTGAAACATCTCATTTTATATGCATCAAAACTATAATAGCTAGTAAAAAATAAATAACACATGAATAAAGGGTGTTTGATCAACCAAGGATTTATATTTTTACATATGAACTACAACAAGATATATTTAAACAATAAAGAAATTTAGCTAAGCCCTCGTTCATTTAAATGGATATGCTCCAACAATCAAGATGAGTTCAAATCTTCTTGTTAATGTGAAAATATCTGCAACATAAGATTAGAGAGTTACCTGAGTCGCAGAATAATAAATACAATAACGAAGAATGGAAGCTCAGCAACTAAAGCAGCATAAAAACAGCAGCAAAACAACCGAAAATCAGCAGCAAATCCACGTTAAAACAGCCTGAAAACTTCGAGAAGAGACCCAGAAACGAACTCTAAAGAGGACTTATACTTTTCTAAAAGTTTGCACTCTAAAATCAACTCCTAAAGCTCTCCATTTCAGCTTACTTTTCATGTGTTCAACTGCTGAAATTTTTTTATGTTTTTGTGTGTTTAAGCAATTCTCTCATTGTAGTGTGATGGAGTCCCTTATAATGAAGAAAGGGCAGCCCTTAAATAGGCAAAGAAAAGCCAACTTTTTGGACAGATTTTGGTTCAACAAAAATCTGTCCAAAAGAGGCTAAATTTGTGTGCTAAAGGCTGTCCAAAAGGTGAAAGGACAGCCTGAAATCTGCTATGGCAGGAGCCAAAGGGTCACTTCAGCCACCCTACTAAAAGCAAGCTACTAGTACCCTACGAAATATCTAAATTTCAGATTTTAACAACACCAATATCAACCTATTGATTCAAATTAAACCAAGTATTAAAACATGTAATTAAATTTCAACACATGTATTATGAACCAACATGAGCAAACAAAAATTAACTATTAAAGCCAAACGGAACGCACGATATCGCTAAAGCGATTTAACAAAGACAAACATAATCAGAAATGGATTAAAATAAAGAAACAAGACAGAAACTAACTCTAAACTAAAATCCAAAAAAAAAAGAAAAAAAAAGAAAAATCAGAAAATTAATAACGGGGAGGGGATTGCGATTTTACCATATACTCGAGCATCCAGGAGACGACGATAGGCAGTGGTACGACTTTCGAGCAAGCTTCTATTGTTGATATTCTTGAAACCAAAAAATTTCGGTGAATCCGAGTCCGGTTTCAGTAATATCAACGACACTGGGCGGCAGTGGGCGGCAGTGGCGGCGGCGCTAGGGCGGCGTGGGTTTTTTTTTGATGTTTGAGTCGGAGATATGGAAAGAGGGGGAGAAGAGGAGGCCGGTGGTGTAAAATTTTTGGAGTTTGGGGTGGTGGGCGGCGGCTAGGGTTTCGGTTAGGCTTAGATCTGCGGAGATTGGTAGAGATTTGGAGGATATGAGTGGTATAGGTAGAAAGAGGAGGAAGAGGGGAAGATATGGTGAAATTTTGGGGTGGATTGGAGGGTTGCCGCCGGCAGCGGCGATTTCCGGCCGGCGGCGACGGGCGGCGGCGAGGCGGCGTGGCAGAGAGGGGGGAGAGGGTGATAAGAGAGAAAAAGAGAAAAGAATTATGGGTGGAAATGGAAAATTTTTTCAGATTTTGGAGGCTTTAAATACCTAAGCCAAGAGTGAATGAGATCCATTGGATCAAGATGGAATGGAGGGGTAAGATTTGATCTTGTTTCATTTAGTGAAACGACGTAGTTTTATTATGAAACTACGTCGTTTTGATCCGGGTCTTGGCAAGCCATCAATTGGTCTGGGTTGGTGCAATTGGGCCAATGATTTGGTCCGATTTTTTAGCCCATTTCACTTTAAAATAACACTAGCCCAAAGTTTTGTTCCTCTCTTAATTAAATCATAATAAAACTCTCAAAATCTACGTATACACACACATATATATATATAGAATAAAAAGACATGGCAAAAATTAAGCATTTACAAATTTATTATCCGTTTATCTAAACCCCAATCCCTTAAGTCATGGAAGAGAACTCCTAAAGCCAAACAGCCAAACCCATGTTCATAGTTCCAAGCTATCTGTGGTTAATCAACCAAAAACAAAGTAATTTTCTTTTAATTCCCATTACTTTTGCAAAATTTGTTGGTTCTGGAATGTGCTAAACTTTTTTTGCAAACAAAAAGAGTGCAACCCAACAACAAACATATTGTACTTATAGATGGAATGATTAAAGTAGCACCAACTTAGGAACAAAAGTCTCATTCTTGAATAGTATAAAATCAGTAATATTTATTCGGAAGAAGCGTTAGAAGGTGATATATAGGTGTATGAGTTTAAAATTCTAGATCTGAATTTTCATTTGTAATTGAAGTATTTTGCTATTGGATTTCGTTGGGTGTTGTTCTTTTGATGTATATGTTGTGATGTTATTGCTGATTTTCGAAGATTTTGTTGTAAGAAAAATCAGACCACCATTGAAGAGGACCCTGAAGCTGGAAAGCATATAAGAGTTTGTAGTTATTTTGTCCGCTTCTAATTGGAGTCTGCCAAAATATTAATAGGAGAACCATACCTAATTTGGAATCAATTTGGTGAAAATTTTGAAGTAACTTTTTGAATTTTGGGTTCGAAAGAGTTGAACTAGCAAATTAAAGAAGACGAATTTTTACTGTATAACAAAATGATATATTGCATGTCATTTTTGTCATGACCCAAAAAATCTCGACCAACGGATCATGATGGCGCTAACCTCACTTGCTAGGCAAGCAAACACTAACAAAAATAAAATTAAAAATCTAACAACATTATATCATAATTAGAGAGTAAAAGCTCCAAAATTAACATAATAAGTCTAAAACCATCGCAACTATCTAAACAACTTCCTAAGGCTGATATTACTAAGTACATGAGCTCTACAGAGTGCCAAATACAAAGTCTGAAATAAACACAATACTTTTTGACTCTAATAAACAGTAATGAAGGAAGTGGGAAGGTGACTTCAAGGGCTTGCGAACAGGCATACAATACTACCTCAAGTCTCCAATGTCAATAGCTAAGCACCCCTCGGGAATCCGCTAGTACCAATCTCTGAATCTACACAAGAAGTGCAAAAGTGTAGTATGCGTACAACCGATTTAGTGTACTCAGTAAGTATCAAGCCTAACCTCGACGAGGTAATTGTTTAACCGGAAAATAGGAATTTCGTTCAAAGCGTAATTTTAGAAGAACTCGGGTTACTGATAATCAAATAAGGAAATAATTATGTAACAAGAAAGAAAAATTGAACTTATAAGTAGCCGAGTAAGCAATATAAAGCAATGTAAATAAGTATATTCCAATAATAATCGGTGTGCCCATACAAATGTTATTTCTCTCCCTTTTATAGCTATTTCTAAGTACTACGTTTCTTTCCTCTCATAATAGAGTCATTATGAGCAATTAATGACATTAATAAGACGTTATGATTGACAATCATAACTGTTTCGTGAAGATTCCACAACGTTTCCCATCATTAATTGCAGATATTACGCATCTGTACTTTTTGCTGTCTGGGTTCATTCCGACGGTGTTTCTTCAAGAGATCCGTGTAACCGTTCCTTCTTGTTTTCTTGTACCTTTGCCCGTACTTATTAAGACCCGCGTCTCTTTGTATACTCTTTGCCAGCTGTCACTCTTCTATTAACCCACATGTCTTGACATGTCAGCCACATAATTAATTCAAAATGCTGACTAGATTTTCCCAGGCTAGGACAAGAGACTCACTTTATAAACCTGTACAAATAATAACATGAAGAAATACAAGAGAACAACAATGAATATACATAAATGAACAGTTAAGAGAGCAAATAAGCATGTTTCCCAATTACCACAATTCCTGCGTACGTCCAAGAGCCGAATCCACATAGAAGGAATGATATACATTAGTAGTATGATCCAAGTCTCCAAACCGCATAAAATGAGTAACATGACAAATCACACAGAAACATCCATCGTGCAATATCGTGCATATATTGCTCATCCTCACCGTACGAAAATACCCACTGTACAATATCTCTCATCCTCGCCACACGAAAACACCCGTCATGTAAATTATTACTCGTCCTCACCAAGCATATGAATATCAACAACAAGCATGGTGGAACGTATACTTATGAGCATGAGAGATGAATAAGTATGATAACACATCAAACAAATTTTAAGGCCTTATCATGATCTTTAACAATTATGTGAATAATCATGTAATCTCATGATCAATTAAAGCGTATGAGAAAAATACATGAAGCAAGACATGGCACGAATAGTCTAATTTCTACCCAAGCATGTCATAACCATAGCTAACGCATATGCACTCATCACCTAACATATACGTCACTTCCAACACATTAGCAAATAGCAAGTAAATTATCTTTAACCTAATTCCCTCAAGTCAAGGTTAACAAAGATACTTACCTCTTTCCGAAAAAAGCTCAACACTCTAATGCTGCCTTTTCCTTAGAATTCACCTCCAACTAGGGGTGGGCATCGGTCGGTTCGGTTCGGTTTTGAACATTATCGGTTTTTCCTATCGGTTATCGGTTTACAAATATCATAACCCGATAACCAAACCGATAAGATATTGGCTATCGGTTATCGGTTAATCGGTTATCGATCATTATCGGTTCGGTTATCGGTTTACCCGACAAGATAAAACAACTAAAATAATTTCGCAATATATAAAACTGTCGAGTTCTCAATTATCTTGAGCCAGAAGTCAAGAAATAGATCAGATTTCCGTTGTCTTTGACAACTTTCTGATGCATAAATATAGGATTACAAAGGTGGAATAGAATATGATTGTATTGTTAATAAAACGTGGTCTTGTATCCTTAAGAACAGTTAAACAGAAGTTTACTGCTTAGGATTCTTAATATTCCAGAAAGAGAAATACTTGTTAAAATTATAAGTGGATAATGCAACAACACCAAATTTATACATTTCTTGACAAAGCCCATTTCATTTCTCATAAAACAGAATCTCCAAAAACGTTTAAAGACTAGACAAACGATTAGAACAAGATCTCAAACAATAGCAGCGCGTACACAGACAGCACAACCACCCCCCCCCCCCCAAAAAAAAAATCCAGAGCCAGAATGCTTTCAAACAAACTAAGAAAAAGATGAAGCAACTAAAAACTTACACGCCGGCCTGAGTCTTGATGGGCTGACTGGTGAGGGCGTGATGCGACTGACGAGTGAAGCCGGTCTGAGTCTTGACGGGATGACTGGTGACTGGTGAGGGCGTGAGCCGTGAGGCGAAGAACTGAGTGAGGGCGTGATCCGTGGTGAGGCGGAGAACTGGTGAGGTTGGGCCGTAGGGGTGCGACAGAAAAATTGAGAAACAGAAAGAGAAACTGACTTACTGAGAATTGAGAAAGAATAGGAAAAACCAATTATGAAACCTAGTATAGTATGTATATACTTAAGGGTAAACTAGTAAATTAGTTAATTCTTATTGGGTTATCGGTTTTTACCCAATAACAGAATTGCAAACTGAGCCCGAACCGATAACCTAATAAAAAAAATTTAGCCCGTTACCGAACCGTTAACCCAATAACCCAATAAATAATTAACGGTTCGGGTTATCGGTTTTACCAGATATATGCCCACCCCTACCTCCAACTGGCTCAAATCTAACTAAATAATACTTAATAAGGTCATAACAATCAATTCCAAATAATAAAGCTTTAATCTTTAATCATTTCTAAAGAGGTTTATAAAAGTCAATCGGGGCCCACATGGTGAAAACCAAAATCGAGGACTAGATCCCGTTAACACATGATGACAATCAATTTTGACCCTCCCTTTTAAAGTTAAATTATTTATGCTTATTAACTGGCAATAGATGTGGTAAAGTATTTTTAAATCAATAATACATATTTTCTTAAAATATAATAGGTAATAATAATCAACAATGTTAAATTAATAGCAATTTGGCATTATATATTTATAAATTGTATTACTCTTACTATTTTGAACTATTAAAATAACCTTTATATTTTAACAATAAGTTTTACAATTAATTTTATGAATTAGTCTTTAATTTATAATTATATTGTCTTATTTACTTTAATTAATCAAAATTAGTTTCATATAAAAAACCAAGTGGTTTGATTAGAAGATTGTTATACCGGCGTGGAACTGGGAGTATATCACCATGAAAATTTTGGTAGGCTTAACACGTACCTTGAGGAAGTTTGATGCTATTTGGATCATTTTGGATAGCTCAAATTTACATCCAGGAGGTAGTTTGCATGGTGTGCCTATTTCTATCATTTCATATCGTGGCACTTTGTTCACATCTTACTTTTAGAGAGCAGTACGGTAGGAGTTGGGTACACAGTGGAACCTAGCACAACTTTTCACTCTCAGACTGATGGTCCAGTCTGAGCAGACTATTCAGATTCTTAAGGACATGTTGAGAGCCTGTGTGATCGGCTTTGGAGGCCATTAGAATCAGTTCTTGCCTTTGGTGGAGTTTGATTACAATAACAATTACCCGTCCAACATTTAGATGGCCTCTTTTGAGGATTTGTATGGTAGAGACTGCCACGCTCCTATTA